GGAATCAAATGTCTTCTAGTGGAAACGTTTGGTACTGCTCCCAAACAAAATTTAGCTGGAAGCTATTTTTTAAATATCAACCTCAAATTTGGAATACAACTTGTTGAAATAGCTGCTATAGTTGCAAGGATGTTCTGAAGGGTTGCTAGAATGTTACTAGTGTTTTGAGTGGTTGGTAGGTGCTTACTAGGGTGTTGCTATGTAGTTATTATTGTTCTTTTGTTCCAAAAAGGTATAGATAGGTATAGGTATATTGTTTTCCCAGTTTCGTATAGCTCTGTTACAGTTCCTAGGGTGTTACTAACTTTTGTTTCATAAATGTTTTCTTTTAGGTTGCTAAAGTCCAAAATATTACATTTTATGCGTACTTGAGGGTCTGTGTGCATACAGTGTGTGTGACGGAAATATTGTCACCAAAATAGTACACCTGTACTGTACGTGCACCACCCAATTTTTGTAAATGTGCGTATTTTGTGTGCGCAGGCCGCATATCCGCACTGAATTTGCTTTTCAATAATCAGTTGTTCCACAAGGTGGCAACACTGGTCCGGGCCATTGTTTCACAGTAGAAAACAAAACGAAAGAGTCGAAAAACAACAACAACAAAATAGCGAAGACTGCAACAACAACAGACGGCCACATTGACAAGTGCTTGTGTGAGAGGGTTATAGGATCGCTGCAACTTTAGTGAAAAAGAATAAAAAGACATATTTATCTGTCATAACTTCTGGAGAAAAACAGAACAGACACTGGACAAAGATGGAGCTTTCTAGAGCGCATGTGTCGACCACCTGTTTTCACTCACGCTAAATGGAGTATATTTTAAAAGGCACGCTAGTGTACGCATACAAAAACAAAGTATACTTGGGCTTTAGCGTGCTCTGATTGGTTACTAATGTATTGCCAGTTGGTTGCTAAGGTGTTTTAAGTGGTTGGCAGACAGATAGATACAGATATCGAGAGACATAGAATAGTTTAAAGAAAAAAATATCATAAGTTTCATATAGCTCTGCTATATATAGTTGCAAGGATGTTACTAGTGTTTTGAGTACTTGGTATGTTGTCAGTAGGTGGTTAATAAGATGTTGCGCTGGTGTTTTTTTGTTTCAAAATGTTTCTTTTTGTTTAATAAGCACTTGCTTGCATGCTATTATTGGTTGCTGAGGCTTTGCTATATGGTTGCTAAAGTCTTCTTATTGGTTGCAGATAGACATAGACAGACAGATAGATACAAAAGCTCTCTATGTGGTTGCTAAAACGTTGCTAGGGTGCTCTGAGTGGTTGCTAAGGTGTGGCTAAAGTGTATCGAGTGGTTGAAAGACATTTGTTAGAGGGTTCTGGGAATAATTAGCCTTCGAATAATTATTACTAATCACTCTGATGATTTCCAGTAAGGAGTGGACTGTGCACATCTACTGAGAAGTATGACTCAAGTTTTCTTTTCACTTCTAACAAATCATATTTAAGTGGAAAGTGTGTTAGAAGAAGCTAAGAGGAGATCTCAGGGTGTTAGACTGGAGATACTGTAGTTATTCAGGCTAAAAGTATCCTATAGTGGGTGGAGTGGGTGATGAAGGATGAATGGTTAAATGGAATGTCCTCATGCATTCTCAAATCATCAGGTTATCGGATGAGATGCCTGAACGCTGGAGACAGACGGCAGATTCATTTTTGTTCTTTGTGCTCAGTTCTCCAGGGATCCTGACCTATGTTTCTGTAGGAATACACTGGAACTGACTCTCCTCAAATTGCACACTCTTAAATACACTCACGTGTAAAAAGAAACGAGTATGTGCACCATTGCAGATTGCTTTAATTCAGCAGTGAGTAATGGATCTCCACCACTGTATTGTGCACACTTTATGAGTGAGTACTGGTTCGTGTTTGGCTAGTACGTGTGTTTATACAGGCCTTTACCATTTTATATCTGTCAGAGCTTTACCGACATAAGTAAGTACTTAATAGTTTCTACTTTACCTAACGGCGGTCTTATGACCTTGTGCTTTGACATTAATTAATATCATAAACCCATATAAAACCTTGCTGGCGCTGCAATAACTTTAACAAGACCACATCAGAGTGAGCTAAGCCTTGGAAAATACATACTGAGAGAGACCATCTGAGCTTTCAGCTTTTAATTTCATGGCCTTGAATCACTCTGTCAGAACTCTCTCCACCCACTGACTCCCGTGACGGAAACCAACACACACATTTCACAGACTTGCTGAAATCAGCTTTAGGGAGAAGGTGTAGGACGCTAAAATGTCTGCAGAGAAGTCTGAGGCTAGTTCTTACCCTTTTTATTACAGTGAATATTACTCATGATGGGTTTATTTACCTACCAAAAAAAAAAAAAAGACTGGATATTTCTATTTCTGTTTCTGTTCTAAAAACATAGTGACCCTTTTGTGAGAACATGCCACGAAAAAGGCACATAATTCACACATTTTCACAACGTCCATTAAACAACATATAGTTTGTAGGCTTTTCAGCAAAATTTAAACATGAAAAAAAAAAAAATAAACAATTAGCAGACAAAAATTATAGTATATAGTGTTAATTTGGTGGTGATATAGGCCTAGTGTTCATTTGTTTACCTTCTGGAGTAGACTGTTCATTATAATTGTTGTCATTTTAGAGATTATCATTATTTCTATGAGATGCTTGGAGCCAACATAAATCAACGTAAGTGGACTTTTAAATCAAAACCATATAGCTACTAAAACTCTTGTGACTACTAGCCCCGGTCTTCTGTATGTAGATAGTCGTGCTCTTGTTGATTGAATTTGTGCGAAAGATCGCGCCCTCTCACGGCTGGTACAGGAACTGCAGGAGCGCTGCCTTTAATAGAGCCAGATGAAAAATGATAGACGAAAAGACTGCAGGTTTGATCTTCCTGTAGGCTATGTGTGTGTGTGTGTGTGCGTGTGTGTAAAGCCCTTCAGGTTTAAATGAAAGTCGATCTCTTGAGAGCTTGTTGGTACATTGTGTTGCCCATTCAGTGGTTTCAAGACAGACAATTATTTACTGGTGTCATTTTTACAATATTTATTCAGAAGTCAAGAACAGTGGGATCGTATACAATTATATGAACACATACCCAGATTTCACAGTATTGCATTATGTTGAAGTGTGTGGAAGTACTCAGGCACATCCATTTACGACATCAGCATTGAGTGACTGGCAATGTGATTGTTTCTATTATTTGAAATTATTATTTTTTTTAAATGTTGGTGACCAATATTGCTGTACATCTCTCTTTTAGAACACTGACTGAAAGCAGCACATGTTTTGAATCTCAACATCATATACAGACATTGCTAATATGTAAAAAATGTAAAGATACAGAAACTATTAATTATGAACTTGATACATACACAGCTAAAAACAGTTCTGAACATGTTTTGACACAGTGGCCATCAGCGTACAGGAGAAATATGAGTATGTGCTGTACAAAAACAGGTAATTTTCGGGTGAGACTCTCCCCAGGTGTGTTTTATGAATGCATACAAGTCTTTTTTTTTTTCACCTGCACACTACACAATAGAGCTTTGAAAGATTAGTAGGTATATTCTTCCACATATTTTCATATCATATTCCCAAATCATCTCTCTCGCACACTCTTCATCTCTTTTCTGTGCAAAATATACAAAAACTCAATTACATATCAAATTAATAAGTGCTTTTAACTTAAACGTATTCACAATGAAAGTGTGCTGTAAACAGTCTCTGGACATCAGTGTGCAGAGAGGAAGGAAAGCAAACGTATGTGATCCTCTCTCAATGAATATGATGCTATCCAAATTATTTTGCAACGTAGAAGCTATTTTCGGTGAATATGTGAGACTTCCGATTCATTAGCTGCTCCAACTAGAAGAATAGGAGAAAGCAGTAAATGGTAAAACTATTTGTGCAACAAACTGGTATGTGTATGATTATGATAATAAATTAAAATAACATGATAACAAATACCAGTTTGCAACATCAAGCAGCATAAAGGACTATTTTTGTACAGCTAAAATGACACTGGAAGCATCACACATTCACAAATGGATGCACCCACTCCTATGTTAAAAAATAAGCTGGATATGGATCTCAAAATATAGAATGAAAACACAGTGGTGAAATCAGCTTTGACTTGGATCGTCATGATCAACCATACAACTTTTTTTTAGGTAATACTGGTCCAAATTGTAAAAACACGAATCTTATGAAAGAGAATCTGATATTCTTTCAGAAATATATTGAATTAAGCTGATTAAGATCTGAATAAACAACATACAAACTGACCGTCATGCTGCAACAGGGTCACGTTTACTCATGCTGGTGAGGTTTTGGTTTTACAAGCACACCAACTATTTACAAAGGCGAGACTTTCACCAGCACTTGGCCAGCGGAGCAAGAGGCGATTTCATTCATCTGCTGGGGCTGAAGATATCCCTCGTTTCCGCCTCTAACCTCACACCCGGCACCTTAAAGATGGACACAGCTGACGGAGAAAGAGAGAAGGTTAGAGAATGAGAAACGAGACAGGAGGAAAAAGACATTTCTAAGATTGCATAATCTCTTTTCATCTTGAGTTGGCGTTGAAAAGGTTGCCAGTTTTGACAGTGACTAAGAGGGGTTTAACTTTGATCTTGTCTGTAACGGGACCGGATTAACCTTTGAAGCTGGAATTGCGTGCATTCCACTCATATAGTGAAATTCTCCAGCACTTACTGTCCCTTAGATGCATTAACGGAGGTGGAAGAGTGTTGAAATATGGGTGTAGCAATGCATCCTGGGCTGAAATCCTGTCCTTTGGATTCATCATCAGCATCTGCTGGGCCAGATCCTCCGTCTTATAGGGTAACTGAGCGAGTCTAAGCCAATGTACACACACATATACAGAGAGCTATGGGTCAGACATCCATTAGAGGTGGGGGTGGAGGAAGGGAGATGAAGACCGCTATACAAAAACCCTTCTGTTCCCACTCGGAGCCAAAACGCACAAAATACCAGTTTGCAACATCAAGCAGCATAAAGGACTATTTTTGTACAGCTAAAATGACACTGGAAGCATCACACATTCACAAATGGATGCACCCACTCCTATGTTAAAAAATAAGCTGGATATGGATCTCAAAATATAGAATGAAAACACAGTGGTGAAATCAGCTTTGACTTGGATCGTCATGATCAACCATACAACTTTTTTTTAGGTAATACTGGTCCAAATTGTAAAAACACGAATCTTATGAAAGAGAATCTGATATTCTTTCAGAAATATATTGAATTAAGCTGATTAAGATCTGAATAAACAACATACAAACTGACCGTCATGCTGCAACAGGGTCACGTTTACTCATGCTGGTGAGGTTTTGGTTTTACAAGCACACCAACTATTTACAAAGGCGAGACTTTCACCAGCACTTGGCCAGCGGAGCAAGAGGCGATTTCATTCATCTGCTGGGGCTGAAGATATCCCTCGTTTCCGCCTCTAACCTCACACCCGGCACCTTAAAGATGGACACAGCTGACGGAGAAAGAGAGAAGGTTAGAGAATGAGAAACGAGACAGGAGGAAAAAGACATTTCTAAGATTGCATAATCTCTTTTCATCTTGAGTTGGCGTTGAAAAGGTTGCCAGTTTTGACAGTGACTAAGAGGGGTTTAACTTTGATCTTGTCTGTAACGGGACCGGATTAACCTTTGAAGCTGGAATTGCGTGCATTCCACTCATATAGTGAAATTCTCCAGCACTTACTGTCCCTTAGATGCATTAACGGAGGTGGAAGAGTGTTGAAATATGGGTGTAGCAATGCATCCTGGGCTGAAATCCTGTCCTTTGGATTCATCATCAGCATCTGCTGGGCCAGATCCTCCGTCTTATAGGGTAACTGAGCGAGTCTAAGCCAATGTACACACACATATACAGAGAGCTATGGGTCAGACATCCATTAGAGGTGGGGGTGGAGGAAGGGAGATGAAGACCGCTATACAAAAACCCTTCTGTTCCCACTCGGAGCCAAAACGCACACACATATGCACACGAGCATGCACGCATGAACTGGTCTTACCTTTTCCAGACATCTCGAAATTGCTGGGCCTTGCAGGGCAGGAACCACTCTACAGGAACACAAAGAGACCTCTTTTAACAGACCACCAGAACATCCAGCTCTGAAAGTGAAAGCCTTTATCATTTACTATCACTTGTTTTGCTCCAAACTTGTATCTTCTGTGGAGCACAAAAAGAGATATTTGGCAGAATGTTCACGCTGCTCTCTTACATTTTAAGGGCTGTAAAGGTCACTTTTAAAGTGTTTTTGTAATTTTTTGGAGATGACGGCCCATGGTCAATGTATGCTTTTGATACATGGAAAACAGCAGCATGAACATTCTGATGAATTGCTTTTGTACAGTGTTGTTATTATTAACTAAACCGTAAAAATAGTCAAATTTAGTTAATTGAAATAAAATATAATAAAATAATAAAATGTTGCCTTGGCAACTAACTGAAATAAAATAAGTTGAAGTACTAAAATTACTAAAACTAAAATAAAAATATTAAAGCTACACACACACGTGCGTATATATACGTATATAGGCAAGTAACTGACAAAGTTACTAAAACTAAAATAAAATAATTACAGCTACACACTTATATAATTATATATATATATATATATATATATATAACTAATACAATGACAACATTTAAATGAAAAAATTAAAATATAACAAATAAAAGCTAAAAATGTTAATAAATACTAGTATAGTAATAATATCACTATATATATCGTGGTGATGATATATGTGACCCTGGACCACAAAACCATTCATAAGAGTCAATTTTTTTAAATTGAGATTTAATAAATACGCTTTCCATTGATGTATAGTTTGTTAGGACAGGACAATACCAAAATCAAGCTTTGATATATTTACGGTAGAAAATTTACAAAATATCTTCATGGAACATGATCTTTACTTAATATCCTAATGATTTTTGGCATAAAAAAAAATCTATAATTTTGACCCATACAATGTATTGTTGGCTATGGCTACAAATGTATCCCAGCGACTTAAAGGGTTAGGTCACCCAAAAATGAAAATTAGCCCATAAATTACTCACCCTCAAGTCATCCTAGGTGTATATGACTTTCTTCTTTCAGACGAATCCAGTCGGAGTTATATTAAAAATTGTCTTTGATCTTTCAAGCTGTTTCATGGCACTCAGCGGGTGTTGCATGCATCAGTCCAAAAGCACTTAATTAAAATGCGCCTATCCATAAAAAAATGTGTCTCACACAGTTCCGGGGGGTGAACAAAGGCCTTCTGTAGCGAATCGATGCGTTTTAGGGTCACACATGATATAAAGTGTTTCTTATATTGTCTTTGTCCTATTGTTTATAATTTGCATCTTTGTTCTTATTTTTAATAAATTTAGTATAAAAAACAAAAACAACAGTATTGTGGTATATATCATAAAATTACTCATGTGGTAAAATGTCATATTACCCACCCCTATATAATTGTATATAAATAATACTATAATAACTGCTTTTTTGTTTGAGACAGTGAGATAGAATTTCCATTTTTGGGTAAACTACAAATTTTTGTAACATCCAAAGAAAATTTCTAACCACTATAAAGAACCCTATAATAGTAAAAATGCTATAAAGATGGTTTGAAGAAGCTTTATTATGAGTGTCCTTCTGTCAGTGTCTGTGGTTACGGGCCACCCGGTCATTCTTGGCTGAGACCTGAGGCCACACTTACGCTTCAGCACACCTGGATATACCTGAGAGACCACAGCGGGTTCAGGTAGCTTCTCTCCAACACACAGTACACACACATACAGAGCAGCCTGGGGCTTGGGTAAACCCAGATTCATGGAGAAACACAGCAGGCAAGGCCTGCCAGCAGTTTACCTACCACACACACACCATCTCCATCAGTGCCCACACACTCTAAACGAGGCATATTTCCCAAAGCCACCTCACATTGCTCATTTGTGCACCTGTGTAATGAGTCTGCACTTTATTTCCAGGACTGCAATGGAAAGACATCAACCCCCTTCCTGCATGAGTGTGTGAAGGTGTGTGTTTGTGTCTGACTCAAAGGTGTCAAGTCAACTCATGGCCAACACAACCGCTAACAGAACACCTATACACACAAAATGATTTATACTGGAAACACAGCTTCAGCACAACTCTGTGAATTTGCTCTAGCCATTTTCTGTTTGTATGACTGCATGTTATTAAAACGACAGGCCCTTGGCAACAAGTTTACACCCACACATTGCCAAGCACACACGCAGTGCATACAGATGACAGTGTCTATGTGTCGTGCTAATTCTACATTTATGGGTACATGCGTATTTACTGGATGTTTAAAAATAACAGATAAATCTGCAAAACTGTAAAAAATCAGCATGTGCAGGAAAAGTTCACTAACAAAATTACAATTCTGTCATTATTTACTTATGACTATAAAAATTTACATGGAAGAAACATGATATTTTGGAGCATAATATGCCTTAACTTACAACACAAACGTAAGCAATTTTCATGGGAATGTGTGAGACTTATGATTTACAGTATTAGCTCCTATAGGTAAATAACTTGACAAATAACAAAGTGCAGTATATTACAATAATAAATTAAATTATATGATAACAAATACCAGTTTGCAACATCAGACAGCATAAAGAACGGTTTTTGTACAGCTAAAATAATTGGATTCACCTGACACTGTAAGTCTTGCACATTCAATTAATTAATGGAAGTCTTTTTAACTGTTGTGATAAAAAAAATTATAATATAGGTGAATAGCATATTATTGCATTGTATATGTTATAGCTGATAACATATAAATGGCCGATATCAAAAGTCTATACATTCTGTCCAAATATATTATAATTAAAACACCAAAAAAAACAAACAAAAAAATAAACATAATTTTAAATGATACAAGTGAATTTTAAGGGTTAACCTTATGTCAGCATTAGTGGCAAATACAATCTAAAAACAATAAAATTAAATAAAACATTTTTTTAAATGAATTGCGCTTGGAAATGGCCATGCACAAGTAAATTCAATATCTATAAATAAAACATATCTACCAATACCAAGATATAGTTTTTATTCCTCAAAACTCTGGTTCTTGTATTGTATATGTTATAGTTGATAACATATAAATGGCTGATATTACAAATCTATACATTCTGTCCAAATATATTATAATTAAAACACACCCCCCACAAATAAAAAAACTAAAACCCATCATTTTAAATTATACAAGTGAATTTTAAAGATTAACTTTATGTGAGCGTTAGTGGCAAATAAAAAAATCTAAATAAAAAAATGAGGTCATGGGCATGCACAAGTAAATTGTCTGTTATAGATCCAATATCTATAAATAAAACATATCTACCAATATGGTACCAAGATATCGTTTTTATTCCTCAAAACTATGGTTCTCAAACGGGGCCTTAGCAAACTTCAAGGAGGCCCAAGATTATTTTTAAATAATTTAAAATAAGATAAAACAAGCATTAAAATATGCTAAACCAGAAAAAATCAAGATATTCTTTACCTTAATTCCCAATTACTTTTTTCCCTCTTTTAACCAGGGTCTTGGAAAACCTGAATACATGAGGTAGCCTTATTTTAAAAGTGTAATTTCTAGACCTTCAAATTAAAAATGGAATAAAATCTTATAACTCCATTGGCATTTTTATAATTAATTTGCATTTTTCTAGTTTCAAGATCTAACCTTTTCTATCAAATAGAAATTGGGTAAAAACATTTTTAAAAATCCTTATCCAGTAAATCATGAACAACTGGAAAAGTCATGGGGCCTTTGAATGTTGTTGTTGTCATTGAGAAGTCTTGGGGTCCAAATATTTGAGAACCACTGCCCTAAAAGGAACCATAAAAACTGCCTGTATGATTTGTGGCTATATTTAAAATCTTTAGAGACCATATGAGATGAGGCATGCAAGAATGAATGGCTTTGATGAATTGCATGATGCATCTGCATTTGGCAAGTCTAAATACGTGCATGTGTGAATGAGATTTGAGAGCTATGATTTATCAATGAATAACATCATAATTCAAAACATATTTTGTAGAGTAAATGATGACAGAATTCCATTTTTAGGGGAACTAACCCTTTAAGAATATATTTCTTCTTGATCTAACCCCCTAAAATTACTTTAATTGCTATAACATAATTTAGTCAAGTTTATTCAATTTAAATTCAATTATTCCTTTGACTTAAACAAAACCAGTTAATTTAGATGTTCACACATTAAGTACATTTTTATGTAACTAACACAGATGCATGCGTTTAATGACTGAGACAAATCTGTGCTGAGGCAGGAAATCACTTTTCATAGCGGACACATCTGTGAGATTACAGTACAGAGACAGATGAAAGAAGGATTTTGCACACACCTGGTTTATAGTTTGGCAGATCACTGACACCTGGCCAGCTCTCCTCGGTCGGGACCCCGAGGACCTCAGAAGGAAAGAAGAGGAGAGATAAATAACGAGGAGAGGAGGATAGAAGAGAAATCTCACACAATTCTAGTACATTCTCACAAACAGACTCACAGCCCAAATCTTCAGCAGCTGCTCAAAGACATCAGCTACTCCAGGAAACGCTGGTGACCCCTGTAGCATCTCGATAAAAATGCAGCCAGCTCCCCTAAACATCAACATATATACATATCTGTCAGACCAGGGCTGCAGCTGACAGGTGGGGGGGGCAAAACTGAGTGTTGGGTAATAGTTGATTTTCATTTCAGTTGCAACATACCATTTTAATATGCAATAGATTCTCAAAATTAAACACAAAGAACATCAATTTTGTTTCTTAAGTGGTAAAATATATAAATCCAAAAGTTCTGTAGACAAATATGTAAATGTTTATCATGTGCCAGTAAATTACAATACAGGATGAACACTAAGGATTTTTCTACTCATTCAGATTTTCCAAATTTGGTTCAAAAATTTCACACAAAAAAACTGCTATTGTCTATTATTGTTTTCATTTTGTTTGACCCATGTAACCTAGTTTTATAATAAATAATGTTAGATAAAGATGAGTAAACAGTCTTCAACAAATTACTAGCAATAGCACTAAACAAGTAAAATAAACAAAAATTTAAGAAATATCTAAAAGTATATATAAATGTATATATGATTAATATTATACATAAACATAAATATATATTAAATATAAATCTTTAATATATACATGTATGTGTGTGTATTTATATATACATATAAACATATACATTTTTCTTTTGTTCTTTAATTAACATTAATTACACAGACAGCAGTAGGTATATTAAGTGGCTGTCACTTTAAGACCAAATGCACGGACATGCACACATCAGATTGTAAACTATTTTTAACTATTTACAAACTATTTTTGAACTATATACAATATGCGAATTGACTTCTCTTTCTCATCATCTTGCACTTGAAAAGTTTAAAATCACTTGAATGCTTAAACTGACAAGACTGGCAAACTGGCAAAAAGCATTAAGTTGAAGGGGGATTTTCAAAGAATTGCATCTGTTGCTCTCACTATTATGAATCTTTCTAAGAAGAACTAATATGTTTGCGTGTGTGTGTATGTGTACAAGGACTCACCAGATGTCCAGGGCTGTGGAGTAATCAGTGGAGCCCATGAGAACATCTGGCGGGCGGTACCATAAAGTCACGACCTCGGCTGAGTATGTTTGGCATGGTATGGACATAGATCGGGCCAGACCTGAAGCAATAAGAGGCCCACCATGGTTTAGAATGCATGATAGAGCATATTAGTAAGCATGTTAGTGTTTGCATAAGTGAAACTACCAAAATCGGCTAATTTGAGCTCCCCCAAATAACTGATGAGCAAATTCTGAGGTTTGAGGTCTCGATGCAGAATTCTTCTGCTGTGAATGTAAGACAATCCTCGCAGCAACTGAAACATAAAGAGCTGAAGAAACAGACTGAGCGTGAGAAAGCCGGCTCATTATTTCTGACCTTGTGTATTTTTTACGCAGTCATGTGTTTGTTTACCCTAATGTTGTACGAGTGAAGACCGCCAGGATGCTGAATCATGTATTGAGCCAAATCTGTTTGCTGAGAGGGAAAGAGATGTAAAATTTGACTGAAAGACAGACAAAATAAACAAAATAATCTTGGAAGGTGATTGCCAGCATCAGACTCACCACATACTCAAAGACAAAAGTGAGAGACTCTTGCGTGTGGATGATGTCGTGAAGCAAGACGATGTTGGCATGTTTAAGGCCCTTTAACAAGGAGGCTGGGAATAATCACAAATAAAACAGGCATACAGCATCAGCAAGTGCAGGACAATCACACATCTAGCCTTGCTCATTTTTCCATTAAAAAACAGTAATATAGTGAAATATTATTACAATTTCTGATTTTCTGTTTTCTATTTTAATATATTTTAAAATGCAATTTATTTTTCAGCAGCCATTACTCTAGTCTCCAATGTCACATGATTCTTCAGAAATTATTCTAATGCTGATATGGTGCGCAAGAAACACTATGTAATATTATCAAGACTGAATAAAGTGGTTTTTCAAGGTTCAAAATTGCAGAATTGATTTGAAATAGAAATCTTTTGTATTATAAATGTCTTTGTTGTTATTTTTTATAAATGAAATGTGTCCATGCTGAATAAAAGTATTAATTTCTTTAAAATAAAAAAAAATCTGACCCCAAACTTTTGAACAGTAGTTTGTCAGAACATAGAAATATAACATCTAAAAATAAAAATATGAACATAAGTAAAAACAATTTGTTAATGCACAACTCCACTATTCATATTTTAATGACATACATCTATATGTGATGGACACTTCTTGAATATATACTTCATATATATAAGCACTTTGATTCTTGGCTGTGTGTGTGTGTGTGTTGTGCTGTTGCAGTACCTTCTCTAATAGCTGTGAATGGAATTCCTTCCTCAGTTTTCATGTGAATCACCTTTAAAGCCACAAGATGACCGTTTATCCTGTCACAAAGACAGAAAAACCTCAGCATAACCCGCAAACATGCATCTGAAAACAGTTAAGCTGACCTCTGCTTTCTGAAGAATAAACACCATCACAAATTCTCCCTTTTAAAGACATTATGCAACCAAATTTGGAGTTTTGACTATTGACTATAAGGTTATTTATATGCTAGTTTATTCCTGACAAATTGAACATGTAGAAAATACACTTTTAAAATGTAAAGTCTTTCTCTTCTATTTTTTTTTAAATGTGAAGACAATGCCCCCTTGATCAAATAACACCTGCCTAGGACTAGCAATAGCACATAGCAAATCATAATTCATGCCTGTAAATTAAGCCTATTGGCTATTTAAAACTAAGGGGCAAGCACTTTGATATGTCCCACCCTACTTCCTGTTTCAATAGGAAATAATGCAACACAAAAAAGAAATCTGCAATTTTATGGGTCTTGGAAAGTCTATCATCTTGTTTATCATTTGAATCATCTGGTGGTGTTTAGTAGTGGTTAAATTTATGATGCCATTTATGGAAACTAAATCCACTCGCTGTGGATATTCAAAAATTGTGTATTCCAACATCATTTAAAGGGATAGTTCACCCAAAAATTAAAATTTGAGGTTTATCTGCTTACCCCCAGAGCATCCAAGATGTAGGTGACTTTGTTTCTTCAGTAGAACACAAACGAAGATTTTTAACTCAAACCGTTGCAGTCTGTCAGTCTTATAATGGAAGTGAATGGGAATCACGGCTTTGAGAGTCAAAAAAACATACACAAACAAAACCAAATTAAACCCTGTGGCTCGTGACAATACATTGATGTGTACAGACACGAAACGATCGGTCTGTGAAAGAAACTGAACAGTATTTATATAATTTTTTACCTCTGATTCACCACAATGTCCAAACTGTCCTGAGCGCGTTCTCAATAGCCTGCGCGTGACGCGTCTTCTTCTTCTTCTTGCTTTACGGCAGATCGCAGACTTGTTTAAGTGGGGTAACATTTTTCCTTTAATCACATAAATAAGCAAAAATTTTACTTAATGTAAAGCTTTCTATCCTAAGACAGCTGTTTCTTATTACAAAACATTGGTTGTCGTGCAGCAACATCAAACTGCCTCTCAGTGTAAGCCTCAGGCGGCTATCCATATGTTGCAGGATGACCTTATAAAATGAATCCATGTAAAACAAGCTGCCATAGAAGAACTCAAGGAATGCCTACAGGGAGGCAATGAAAAGAATCATTTGCTGTCTATTATACAGAAGAAAAAAGTCACAGGGTGGTGTATCTGAATAATGTGCTTGCTAACTGAATACTGCCATAAAACGTTCATCTTGCCAACATGGCAATATCTAAGTGAGTTCTATGAATAACACTGTTTTGAGTGTGTCTATGAATATCGGCATATGACTACTAACCTGCTAATTCCTTTGTACACTGTGGCATATGTGCCCTCTCCAAGTTTTTCAAGATTTAGATAAGATGTTGCATTCCCAAACTGCAGGCCAGTTTTCTGTGAATGAAATGCACACGCTGTTATTTCGCCAGCCAAGCAACTGCCATTGAAACAAATGACAGGTAGCTATTATAGACCTTTTTGGTGTAACCGCCATACATTTTTAACTGAAAGCAATGAAACCAATAAATTAGCTTCAAAAAACTCTATGATTTGTGAGTAAATACACTTCTGCTACATTACAAATTTGGGAAAGTCACTTTTTCATGTTGCAGCCTTTATCATTCTATGCAAACTCTAAAAAATTGCAAAAAATAGCAATTCCAAAGTAAAAAAAAATCTGCAAGCCAAACATGGTGCTTCCACTTACAAAGTGAGACAGCTGAGAAAATATAGCACAAAAGTATTTAACCCTGTAAAGCCTGAAAAAATAAATAAAAATAGTCAGAAAAATCTATTTTTAAAGGAACATTTTATTGTACATTCAGACAAATATATATATAGTTTGAATATATTTTATAGATCAGGTTTTTATGGCTCATATTACAGTATGATATCTTTAGAATAAGGCGCTCATACTTCCAAATTGAGCCAAAATATGCTATTTTGTGCAGATGCTATGGCCAAAAAGTAAGATGAAATTCTGATAGCTTGTTATTGTAAATCAATAAGATCTTTATAATAGTATAACAAACTACAAAAAATGCATATAAATATTAGTTGTCACTCTATATCTCCCAATAATATGTCTTGGTAAGATGATATTTAAATTATCAATTTTATGATCAAAGCTCTGTAGCTTTTATTGTGGGGGGCAAAACATATAACGCAATGCAATACAGTGATGATTGAGAAATATACAAGTAAACATCCCTCAAAATCTGTTGTATCATATTTAATACATACATTTTAACAAGTAAACCCAAGTTGCTTCAGTCTAGTAAATGTTCATCTTAAAAACGTAAATACCCCACCTGAAGATGGACATTTTTAAAATTATACTAAAAGGCCTTTTATTTGCTAAAAAAGTATAAACTATCAATAAGGCTTATAGGGTTAACATTACTTTATGTAAAAAACAATGTGACAAATTTACAGTTTATAGTAAGTCATGTATTGCAAATTGTTACTGTTAAAAGTAACATTCCTCAAGACTGTGCATTGTTTGTTTATCTCAGTGCATCTATGATTGAACCTCTTGTTGTGTGTCTGAGTTGTATCTGTGTGTTCCTCACCCACTGGAACTCTTGCTGGAAGCTCTTTCCTCCCATAGGATCGCTGTTACTGCGGCCCCTCTGAACTCTGAGCCGTCGCACCTGCAGCGTGTGAAACCAGTGCGGCTGTGGTTTCTCCACCCCGTCCAGCTCACCCAGCTGAGAGCAGAGACAAAGACAGAGAAACACACCGGGATGGTTTGATCTATATCAGATACAGTGTGCGATGTTATTACACCTTGTTTTGCTGATACAGCCATCCTACTGTATCCATCACACCCGTCTGTGTGCGTACAAGTGTAAACCGTGTCCTCATTTTCATGCATATGTGGCTTCAGGGTTTTACACCAGCTCTGAAGCTCTGAATCCTAAAGTGCTTTATACACACACACACACACACACACACACACACACACACATACACACTCACTACTGTTTAAAGAAATTAAATGCATTGACATGCAGTAAAACTGATCAAAAGTAAGTAAAACATTTATAACGTTACATAAGATTTCTCTTTAAAATAAATGCTGTTACTTTAACTTTTTATTCGTCAGTAAATTTTTTTCCACAAAAAATTTAAGCAGCAGAAATGTTTTTTCAATTGAATAACAATAAGAAATGTTTCTTGATCACCAACTCAGCATATTATAATAATTTCTCAAGGATCATGTGACACTGAAGACTGGAGTAATTTGGCTGCTGAAAATTCACCTTGGTAATCACTGGAATAAATGAAAATATACAGAAATAATATATATATTTTTTAATTGTAATAATATTACACAATATTACTGTTATTACAAATAAATGCAGCTTTGCTGAGCATGAGAGACTTTTTCTTGCTTGCTTTTTCTTTTTTTGCATCTTTTTTGTGGTACACATAGTCTTTCAAACTCATAACATTCAATTTTGTGTGGTGCTGTAGCTTCTATAAAAGCAAATTATGTGTTAACATTAAAAGAAAGGAAGAAAGATAGGGCCTACAGTTATTGATTCTACAATCAAACGATAAATGAATGTAAGAGCACCTTCAAACTGTGTAAAAACCATTCAAAATCTCTGCCATTTTGTTTAATTTAATTAAGTGAAATGGTATTTTGGCAGGAACTATAGTTATATTTTTGTAAGGATAACAACAGCACACGAAGTTGTACAGCAGATGATGTCAGAATGTCCTGACACAGAAGTCCTTTTAGCTCTAATGTTCCCTATTTCTGTCTCCTTGCCTAAATTCTGTTCATTTGAGTGATTTCATCGCACACAGGGACAGCTGACACTCTCAGAATGGACTTCGGAGTTGTATAGAATGTACTGTAACCAGACAATTATATCTTCAGATCATCTGGAAATAAAACGGCTTCCCTTCCATCAAATACATTACATTCGACTCTCAGTATTTTCTTGGAAGCAACACAAGAACACTAAAATAGTTAGAAATGCTAAAAAAGTTTAACCCTTTAACACTACATGATACAGTATTCAAAACCAGACCTATTTCTCAATGACATTGCAAAGTTAGAGGCATTTTTATGAGACATTCTTCTGTAACGCTAGAAATGTCATTGTTATTGTAAGACATCATCATATAGCGCTGTTTGATGTCAAACACTCTCTCTCTCTCACACACACACACACACACACACAAGCACACCCATCTGACCTCAGCGACTGGGAGGGAGGACACACTCCAAGTTTTTGATGGTTTTTCTTCCGTTTTAATTTCTTCTGTTATCTCTTCCACTCTCATCTCAAACATTTCCTCTTTTTCTTCCCTTCTGACTTCATTTCTTTTATCTCCACAACACCAACAACATCTCCTCAAGCTCAAAGACGCCCAGACCCGCATTCTCCACAGGAAATCCTCCATCTCCAAATCTTCTCCTCTCTCACTCACTCACTCTCACTTTCTCTGATTAAGCCGTATAACTCATATGACTTGCATGGGAAAGTGTGTGTGTGTGTGTGTGTGTGTGTGTGTCTGCAGGCCTGGTCTTATGACTCCATCTCCCATCCATGAGAGCTAAACACAAACAGCCATGTTATATTTGCTAAGGGGAACAAATGCATCCATTCAACTGCAGGAGAGAAAAGCACGATGGGACGGACAGTGAGAAATGGTGATTGTGAGAGAGAAATAAGAGAACAAGAGAGAATAAAAGAATGTAAATGAGAGAGAATTCATAATACTGTGGCATAATATTATGGCAGTTTTCAGACTTAATAAAGACGTTTCTCATCAGACTGAGGTGAATTGGCGAATTACTCTGTTCACACAATATGGCTCATCTCTGTCTAAGATGGGCTGTTCTTGACTGGCTAAAATCTGTGGGTAAAATCTTATTTTGCACCCATATTCTTATTTAGTTATATTACATGAACTGCCATTCAAATGTTTTGGATTAGTAAGTAAGAGAACATAAGTGTTTTGTTCAACAAGGCTGCATTTGTTTGATCAATTGCATTTGTTTGTCTTATATATATACTGTATATGATAGATAGATGTGTGTCTGCATGTCTGTTTTCACATGGTCTGGTGAGTCTGGTCATTACTTGTAGGCTACTGGGGTTGCTGGAGTGTAACTGTAGAGAAAGAAAGAGCTTGATGGATGTTTTCTCTATTCTTTATTGTCTCTGGCTATCTGGACTCTGTGTCCAGATGGGACATGCTCGATTGAGCCTGGAATAAGACACCAATTACTGACAGGGGGACCGAATGTTGTGCGCTGCTGTGCTGTCTCTCGCTAAGAAAATACTAGCTTACTATTTACTGAATTCTGTGCTCTATTTACTGTATACTGCAAAATTATATGTAAGAAAACATATTGTTGTCACGTTCATCAAAATGAAAATTGTTATTGTGCACCAGTTTGGATATAGGTCTATTGGCTCTGTTTTATACTGCATATTTTAGAGGGTTACCTGTGTATTCTGTGCCTAAAGAAAATATTCAATTTGTGTGCATACTATACATTGTGGAACAAGTAAGAACAGTATGCCATTCCAAACACAGCTTCTCTTTCTTTCCCCCCAGTAGAGGGCAGTGCTGCATACTTTTTCCTCAACTGGTTCTTTTGCCTTTCCTATCTCTCTCTCTCTCTTTTTCACCCCCATTAGGGGGTAGTGCTGTATTTCTCTCTTCTGCCTCCAGCTGTCATCTGTCCTGTCTCTGTGGGTGGAGGGATGTTTGTTTGTGCTTATAATATGTTGTGCAATGTCATGTCAAATGTCCTTACCTCCTCATAGCCCAGATGTCTTTGTTTTAACCCTGTAAAACATAAAAGAGCAGTTTAGATGGACCACAACACTTGAAATGGCCAGATATACAGGGTTTGCTGCAGTACACTTCATGTGTGAGAAATGGTTTGACTGTTTGTAATGGTTTCATAAAGATATTTAAACAACTTTACAAAGGAAAGGGCCTGACACGCTGAAAAAAAAACTCTCTCTCTCTCTCTCTCTCTCTCTCTCTCGTACATGTAAGTGTATTAAAAATAATGATATATTATAATCTTATAATATAATTATAAATTACATATGATTTGTACTTCATTTATGAATTTAAATAATATTTTATAACATTTCATATAATACCTATATACAGTGGGTACGGAAAGTATTCAGACCCCCTTCAATTTTTCACTCTTTGTTATATTGCAGCCATTTGCTAAAATCATTTATATAAAATATGATTACATATAATCTAAATTAAATAAAACATATAAGTATAACATAAATAAATACATAAATGAACCAAATGTAATGTATGCATTAAATACATAAAAAACATAACCTAAATACAAATTAAATACAAATTATAATAATATTACATATTTAATCATATTGACTACATTTACGTGCATTACTCTCATTTAATACAACGGATTAATAAAATATAGTATTCACTGCAATACGCTTCATGTGTGATAAACGGCTTTTGGTGTGTTTGTAATGGTTTTATAATGATATTTATAAGAACTTTTTATAGGAAAAGCACTTGGATACAGTGAAAAATGAAAGCAATCCTACTACTATTATGTCAGATGAGAGAGAGAGAGAGAGTGTGTGTGCTTATCAAGTCATATATCATACAAAGTCAATAGTATAATTATAGATGTAATTACAGATATTAATAACAGATGTAATTACATGTAGGATTTTTCAAAAAAAGTATAAATAAGTAAAAACGCAAAGTAGTTAGTTAAAGACTATACCAAATATTTAAATTAAGTACAATATAAATATAATATACAATAATCATGATAGTAATTATATTGAATACACACTTTCTATTTAATAAATGAAAAAGCTTTATAGACCAAGATTGAAGAACACATAATACTCCAGAATTCTCAGTATGTAACTGTGTGTGTGTGTGTGTGTGGTTTGATTCAGCAGGTACAAGGTGAGTCACGCTCAGTGTTTAAGCTCCTGACGGGAGAGGCGAACAGGAGCAGGTGGCTGTGTACAGGGGGTGTGAGATTTACCCTTCATCTTCATTTAAATTTTAGCAGCAAATACAACACTAAACGGGATCAGAGAGAGAGGAACGGACAAAGAGAGGAAGAGAAAGACCCCACAATCACAGTTCAGCTGATGGATGCTCTGTAAAACAGTGCTCAGCTATTAAAACGTCCATTTCGGTGATGTATATTTGAAAAGTGTCTCTAAGAGGCGGAGTGCATCTGCTATGTAATGCGTGATTAGATATATTCTGACAGTCAGTCACAATGAAATGAACTCTGTTTAGGCAAAAGATACAGGGAATATAAAAAATAAGCCCATCTTCGTGAGTTTTAAGGCTCAGTGCGACTCCAGGAAGACAGTTCTGCCCTAAAACTGTCCAGTACCTTTTACCATGTCAAATACTATACAGAACTTCTCTGTTAAGAAGAAAGTGCTTTAAAAGAACTGTTCTTTAACACTAGAATGATAAATTCCACTGCAGAGATGGCTGCGGTTTTCTGAAAGACTAATACCAAAGTAGTTATTATGATTGTGATATACAAAGGATTTCATTAAAGGCTCCCGCTATAGTTGATTGCATTAATGTTGATATAACTATATCCCATTAGGTGATTGAATTACAAAGCCCTGTAAGTTGACCCAGAAGACTGTATGTCTCTGTTGGATCGTTCCAGATCTAATTTACTAAAATCTCTTTTTGGCACTGCTGCAGATGTCACTCTGAGGAGCTCTGCTGCCATCTGATTAGTGTCGTCCTTGACAGGGAAGTAAGGTCATCATCCAGGTGACCAGTCACCATTAACCAAAACCTGCTATATGATTCTAGGAGGTTATATGGAGTCCGTTTCACATCAAGCATCTAATCAAAACTGTATTTATTAGAAATACATGCCAAGGGAAGCATTATTTCTACTACTTAAAGGAATAGTTCACCCAAAAATTAAATCTGATGAACATTTACTCACCCTCAAGCCATTCAAAATGTAATTTGTTTGTTCATCAGAAAAGAGAAATGTAGCATTACATCACTTGCTCGCCAATGGATCTCTGCAGTGAATGGGTGGCGTCAGAATGAGAGTCCAGACTGCTGATAAAAACATTATGGTATAAATGGTATATTATTAACGGTTTGAAGTTAAATGTGTAAATAATAGATTTATTACGAACACACAGCTTTTTACTTCATGTTGATTACTTGTGGAGTATTGTGATGTATTAATCAGCTGTTTGGACTCTCATTCTGACGGCACCCATTCACTGCAGAGGATCCACTGGTGAGCATGTGATGTATTGGTAAGTTACTAGAAACCTGTTCTGATGAAGAAAAAACTCATCTACATCTTGGACGGCCTGATGGTGAGTACATTTTCAGGCAATTAAAATTTTTGGTTGAAATGTATATGCATTTCTTATGCACAAATGTTATTGAAAAGTATGCCTCATATTATAAAATGTCAATCACACAGGTTACACGGTGAAGAGTATATTTTTGTTTGTCCTTGTGTGTCGACCAATGATCGCTGCTGTCTCTGTGTGTTTCTGCTTCCCCCTGAGCATTTTTTCCCTTCTCTCTGTCTGTCTGCACAGATATTTATGAGTCAGGATAAGGGAGGGCTAAGAGAGCTCATAACTCATGCTTAGATGCATCACGGCTTCCCGCTCTCTGTTTTCATCCTCTCATCCATCTCTACACTCCACTCTTTCTGTCTCTGCACGGGTATCTTTCCTTATTCCATCAAGATCGTTCCCTCCTTCATCACCACTTGACATTCTTTCTTACTGTTCTGCATTCTGTTGCCAACTCTCCATGTTTTCCCTCCTTCTCTCTCTCTCTCGTTCTGATCAGTATTCTGTGAGCAGTGTGTACAGCAGTAAGTGCTGTTTAGTATGTTGCCAGCCACCCATCACTCAAAAACAGACAAGTGCAGTGATTGGTTGGATGAAGGCCAAGAAACTCAGATAAATCAGCTCAGGTAAACGAGTCAAGTTAAAGACCACAATAAATGTATGTCAGCTTTGAGACCATCCATAAGCTAGGGTATTTAGAAATGTGGATTTAAAAACATAGGCTTTCTCTGCTGGGAAAACAGACCAAAAATATTGATAACCTTTTTCGCAAAGGAACATACAAATAATTTCAGTCCAAAAATGATCTCTATGTAGAAATTGAGAATTACCATCCTGCATCTGATTAGCCAAAGCAAATAATACATTTAAAATATTAAATATTAAAAAAGTGACAAACCTTTTGATATAACCCACCCCAACTTCCTGTTTCAACAGGAAATATGTCAACACAGGACTTTATCAAGCCATTTCATGGGGTCTTAAAACCAGACCATGATTATGAGTTCAGATTTAAAAAAGAAAAGAAGATTACAAAAACACACCAAGAGAAGAAACTGGCCCACAGAATTAAGGAAATAATCACAAGGAAACTGATTTCACACTAAGACATGCAAATAAACTTGCAGAAAAGTGTTTTTAAAGATTAACTTAGAATTAGATGATGCCAAAAATAATCTAAATGTGAATGTAATAAATTAGCATGAACAATTAAATATCCAATATAATCAGATAACTATATATATATATATATATATATATTACAGCAACCAAATGCATTTTTTTTGCATTCAGTTCTAAGAAAAATGCAGCCTTGTTGACTGCTTA